ACACACACCCACCCCCCTACCCACCACACACACACACACACACACACACACACACACACACATCTTTCACTAAGTGAGCCTGACAAATGTCTCTTGGGCAAATGTGTGCACGTGTCACGTGGGTGGTGGTGGTGTATGTACGTGCGTGGTGGTGCGTGTATGTACGTGCGTGCGTGCTGCGTGCGTGCGTGGTGTGTGACTGTGTGTACGTGCGTGGTGTGTGTATGTACGTGCGTGCGTGCGTGCGTGGTGTGTGACTGTGTGTACGTGCGTGGTGTGTGTATGTACGTGCGTGCGTGTGTACGTGCGTGCGTGCGGTACATATACATACCACGCACGCACGCACGCACATACACACACCACACACGCACGCACACAAACACACCACGCACGCGCGTACATACACACACCACGCACACACGCACGCACGCACATACACACACCACGCACGCACGTACATACACACACCACGCACGCACGCACGCACGCACGCACATACACACCACCACGCACGCACGCACATGCACACGCCACGCACACGCACGCACGCACGCACATACACACACCACGCACGCACGCACATACACACACCACGCACGCACGCACATACACACACCACGCACGCATGACCACGCACGCACGTACATACACACACCACCACGCACGCACGTACATACACACACCACGCACGCACGTACATACACACACCACGCACGCACGTACATACACACACCACGCACGCACGCACATACACACACCATGCACGCACGTACATACACACACCATGGTGTGTTTATGTACGTGCGTGCGTGGAAGCATGCGTGCGTGGTGTGTGTATGTGCGTGTGTGCGTGCGTGCGTGGTGTGTGACTGTGTGTACGTGCGTGCGTGCATGCGTGCGTGGTGTGTGTATTTGCATGCGTGCGTGCGTGGTGTGTGTATGTNGTACAATCGTACATACACACACCACGCACGCACGTACATACACACACCACGCACGCACGCACATACACACACCATGCACGCACGTACATACACACATCACGCACGCACGTACACACATCACGCACGCACGTACATACACACATCACGCACGCACGTACATACACACACCACCACGCACGCACGCACGCACATACACACACCACGCACGCATGTACATACACACACCACCACGCACGCACGCACATACACACACCACGCACGCACGTACATACACACACCACGCACGCACGTACATACACACATACACACACCACGCACGCACGTACATACACACACCACGCACGCACGCACATACACACACCATGCACGCACGTACATACACACACCACCACGCACGCACGCACATACACACACCACGCACGCATGTACATACACACACCACCACGCACGCACGCACATACACACACCACGCACGCACGTACATAAACACACCACGCACGCA